GCCAAGATTTTACTCAGAAAAGAATTTTGGATTTATTCTAATATAGATAAAAGGGCAAATGACAAGATTTTGCCATTGAACACAACTGTGATGGTTTAACCTAGAAAAATCAATGAGGTAACTGTTAACAAATATCTCTCTATGCAGTCTTTTTTTTCCCCCAGGTTTTTTTATTGTGGTAAAATACACATTTAAATTTATTATCTTAACAATTTTGAATATATTTATGCTTTACATACTTCGACTTTTCAAGAAGGGATCATTTTTATAGACCCTAACGCTCACAATGGCTCTGAGTTTCAGTGGCTTTTGAGTTATTCGTAAGCATAAATAACTAGAAATTAAACTGTGTTCATACAACTTAGTCCTGACATCTGTTTCAGAAATTTTCAAGAAAAGTTTCAAATATGTAATGTAAAATTATTCCTGATGAATTTCTTTACCAGTTGATAAAATATGCAAGCCTGGTCACTACTGGAAAAAGCATCCCTGAAGTCTGTGTTTCCTTTGCCTGAAGTCTGGTCTGGAAATTCTAGAAGGAGAGTTAACCAAAAGGAAACTGCTTTTTAAGCATAATAATTTATAATATGCTAGATTTCTAATTTTGAGAAAATAGAAAGCTGTCCTTTTAAAAATGAGAGCAGATTCTAGGGCCCAACTGATGGTTTAATCTGTGGAAAAATAATTAAAGCAACAGATTGTCAAGGCTCACTTTCCTCCAATCAGACTGAACCTTGAAGGGTTCTGAGAGGCAGGCAACAGAGAGTGCCCTGAGTCTAAAGGATGGTAACCGGCACTCATACTGTATAGCTTATGATCTCCTGAAATCATTCAGTATACTTCACTTTCTTCCACTTTGATGTTTCAGAACCAGATGTTTTCTTCCCTAACTACTCAGTTATTGATATTCATTAATTTGACAAACACCTACTGAGTACCTTTTACACACTATGCATTCCAAAACGAATGAGCCAGGAATCATGATCTTAACAAGCTCACAGTCTGTGCTTCCTACTGATGGTCCAAGATGTTCTGATCAAGAAAAATATCCCTCTTTGTCCTTATTATACCTAAGAATCTCTATTACAGAAAACCAGGGGATTTTTTTTACTCCCTGGGAATAAATACATCTCACAGGTATATTTAACACAGAATTATATAAACAAGTTTACTCAAAAAAAGGAACCATACTTAGCATTAATTCAGTGACTGTTGTGTGATGCTGTTATTCCCTTGGAAGGCCTGTCACCTCACTTGAAATGGCTTAAGTTCAAGTTTCTTTGCCTGTCACCAGAGCACAACTTTCCTATTATGTGGCTCTCTGCCAGGGCAGCATTTGTGAACTTGATGCTTCATTCTAGCAATAATTTCCTATCAGATGTTTTTTCTCTCTTCACCCTATCACATATAATGTCTATGAACATAACACTCTGATTTCATTCTGTCATTTCATTGTTCAGAAAATTCCAGTGATTGACCAATTTCTGGTAAACTGTGACTAGCCAGAAACTCTCCTAAGATTATGCCTTCCCTTACTTATCCAACCCCACCACTTATTACTCCACAGTAGTTGTACTTCAAACATCTTTAGCTTTCTGTGGTTCTTGCTGGTGGGAAGCCTTTCTCTCCCACCTTCATCCTCCCATTTCAAGTTCAGTTCGAATTCATCTCTGTCCTTCTGAACTCTCTTCAAATGATATTGCCCACATCAATTTTCTGAAATTAGTGACCATTATTGGTACAGTTCTTTAGAACTTAATCTCATACTGCCTTGGACTATTATTTAACTGATTCCTCTCTGCAACTTCTTTTTCCAAGGGGATTGTAAACTCTCCCCAGAGAGAAGGGGTTCATCTTAAAAGTCGTATGCACTTGTGTCTCCTCCTAATATTAGGCAATTGTTATGCATACATTTGGTGTCCGATACATTGAGGAAGTAGCTATGGAATGAATGAATTACCACTGACTGCAAATACATTTTTTTTTCTTTCCTTGCAGCTGGTGCTTGCCTTAAGTCCTGTGTATTCCAATCTCAATGTTTTCAAAACTTTCCAACCACAACCAATAGGAAGACATTCTTTTATAATGTGATCTGGTGTGTATGTGTATACACATACACACATGCACATGTGCATGTGTATGCACATGAATGCACACATGCATGTGCATACACACATGAGCACCTGAAACAAAATTTCACAAAACAATACATATTATCTACACTAAGCAATATATTCCAATGTTTTATATTCTATTTTTTAGAGACACTGATCACAACACATTAAATTGATTTCATTGCCAATAAAGAGTTATAATCCACAGTATAAAAACTTAATACTTTGTGGATCAATATGAGGTGTATAATATTGCTCTTGAAAAATCCTTAGACCAAAACACTACCATGAATACTCACTCTGTTACTGACAGTTTGAGCTACAATTATTATCTTTACACAGTTATCTTGAAATAACATCTTACTGTATTTCACTACAGAATTTAGAATCAATTTCAACTCCTCCCACTCTGCCTTTTGAAAATTGGGACACAGTTAAATAATAATACACAAAATGTCCTTTAATTTTCTATTTCTTGTCTTGACAAACTTTAGTGGCATATAAATAAAAATTTCCAGGCCTAATTTTAATCAGACAACTTGCAGATGAATAAAAGTAGATACATTCATATTTTTGTTTCTTTACAATATCATAAGAGCATGAGCTTTTGTTGCATCTGGGAATTTGAACCCCAGCTCTACTGACTTACCTGGTGACTCAGATGTTAAGGAGTCTGCCTGTAATGCGGGAGACCCCAGTTCAATCCCTGGGTCGGGAAGATCCCCTGGCGAAAGAAATGGCAACCCACTCTAGTATTCTTGCCTGGAAAATCCAATGGATGGAGGAGCCAGGCAGGCTACAGTCCATGGGGTCACAAAGAGTCAGAAACGACTGAGTGACTTACTTCACTTCACTGCTGACTTAACCTGAGCAAGTTACTTAAGCTGAGCCTCCATTTCTGCATCCACACAATGGAAATAATAGTATCAACTTCAAAGGATAGATGAGAGTTAAAACAGACCATGCAAGTAAAGAGCTTATTACAGGGCTTGGGACACACAAGTGTTCCATGAATGTACTGTTTGATCACTGTAACAAACAAGTAAATATATGGCAAACTTCTTTTAGGGTCATAAAGAAAGATTTAGTCATAAGGACAGAAGTGAGATTACGTTTTCTCTTTGTAGTCAGACTACACATATAATGTAAAATTCCACTTCTGGTTTTATAGATCATTAATACCCTTAAGAAAATGCTCTATTTGTGGTGCTAGATAATCATTATATAATAAGGAATGTCTACTGAAATTAAGGCTTCCCCGGTGGCTCAGCGGTAAAGGACCCGCCTGCAATGCAGGAGTTCCACAAGGCCTGAGCTGCGGGTTGGATTCCTGGACTGGGAAAATCCCCTGCAGAAGGAAATGGCAACCCACTCCAGTATTCTTGCCAGGTAAATCCCATGGACAGCCCATGGGATCGCAAAAGGGTGGGATACAACTTAGAGGATAAACAACAACTGAAACTAAAAAATTTTGTATATATACCGAAAAAACTGCCCAGTTTTGCTAATTTCATTTAAATTTGTTTTTGCTTAATGAAAAAAAAAATTAACTCTTGTGTGTTGAAGTGTGCTTTAATTCAGCAAAATACTGTACACGATACACATACATAACACTCAAGATGTATAAGCTTGCTTTGAATAAAGCGAGACCCTGCGCTTCAGTTCAGCCTTCCAAGTCAAATTTTTATTCCTGCTGTCTTTACAATATATTCCTTCTTACTTCTATTCTTCCATACCCTCATCTTACTTAGGTCTTGCTGCTGTTGCTGCTGCTGCTGCTAGTCGCTTCAGTCATGTCCGACTCTGTGTGACCCCACAGACGGCAGCCCACCAGGCTCCGCCGTCCCTGCTATTTTCCAGGCAAGAACACTGGAGTGGGTTGCCATTTTCTTCTCCAGTGCGTGAAAGTGAAAGTGAAGCCGTGTCCGACTCTTCACGACCCTATGGGCTGCAGCTTACGCGGTATTCTTAACCGCGGTTCGGCAGTTAACAGTAAACAACTACATTCCCACAGGAAGTGTTTTCTCCCTAACCTGTTCAATTTAGCACTGCAAAACAGCATATCTTGTCTGTTTCCCTAGAAACACTGGTCTCCACCCGACCAGGCACAGGGGAGTAGCATCCTCTTTCAAAATTACTTAAATGATCAAGATTCCCCTAGCCCCAGCTCGCTGGTTTGCTAACGAGAGCTGCACTGTGTTGAGACAAACACTTCGGACAATTTAATTGAACCGAAACTGGAGACCTCTGGGGATGAACTTTCAGTCACTACACTCCTGATGGTCCGTGTGTTGGGCGGCTGAAGGAACCAAAGAAAGTAGAGAGCCGGAAGCAGACCTGCAATAGGGGGTAGAAACAGAGTCTGCCAAAAGCTGCGGCCTGGGTATATAAGACACAGCCGTTTGAGTTAGTCCAACCCGCTAAATGAAGGGGGGGGCGGGGGCAGACGAGGCGATGGAGAGCCCGCCCGCCTCCACGCGCCCCGCCTTCCCACCCACACTGCTAAGCCCCGGCCCTCGGCCCGCGCAGCCTCTTTCGTCACGTCCGGGGGCGGGCCGTGGCGCCGCGGCCGGCCCAGGTGGGGCCGGGAGCCGGGGGCCGGGGGCGGGGTTGTGGCGGTACTGAGGGTGCCAACGGTCAATAATGAAGGTGGCTGCGGCGCGGCAGCAGACTCAGCTGCGCCGGGTGGGGGCGGCGCCGGGGACGCGCCTGTAGGACCTCGGAGCCGGCGCGGAAGATGGGGCCCCAGCGCGGGGAGTGAGGCGGCCGCGGCAAGCGGAACTTCAGCCGGAGGGGCTCTCCCGCTTTCCCCTCCGGCTCGTTAGCCTCCACCTGGAGTCCCTCGACCCCCGCGTCCCGCGGGACGGGAACGGCGACGGAAGGGGCATGTGGCGCTGGGTCCGGCAGCAGCTGGTAGGTACCTCCGCCTCTCACCTCTCGGACGCTCGCTCTCGCGCGGCTTCTCGGGCCCGGGTGGCGGGGAAGGACCGGCGGCGCAGAGCCGCGAGGCCGGGGCGGGAGCTCCGGGCTAGGCCGCATTGGAAGGGGGTCCCGGAGCCGGCAGTGCCCCGCGCAGCCCCGCACACGCCTCTCACCGCCGAACCCGGGACCCCCGAGCCCGGCGGCGGGGGGCTGCCGCTTCCTGGTCACGCTTCTCGGTTACTCTCTCCTCCTCGCTGTTCCTGGGCGGTTTGCGACCAAAAGTGGATGCGGAGCGGGGTCGGCGTCTCGGCTGAGGAACTCGGGCGGGGGGACAGAAAAGAGAATAGGTGTTGGGGAGAGAAAAGAGGCTCGCGTTTCCTGCCTTTAACAGTTTGGGACTGGTTTGAGTGAAGGGGACGGGGAGGATCTGTCTCCAGCCCCCTCTCATCGCTGTTTTCAAGGTTGCGTGGATTATCAAGAAGGGTAACTTGTCTAGTCTAACTCCTCTCAGAGAAATTTTACCGGAGGCCTGGGTGAGAAAGAATATTCTAACACCCCGTCTAGTTGTGAAGCTAAGTGAGATAGTTACGAAGGACGGTTTTCTTCCTGCCTTGTCCTCACCCCACCCCTGGTGAAACTTTTGGAATGGGAACCGTACTTTTTTTCCGTTCTCGAGGCAGTGTGAACGAGACCGATTTGGACCCAATGGTTAACTTTTCAGTTTTACTGGAACATCTGGAGAAAAAAAGAATTTTAGAAAAGTGTGATTTAAGGCATATAAAAAGCGCCACCTTTCTCCGAGTGAATTCACAGAGAAAACTTACTTGCTTGCTGGCAACTACAGCCCCCAAAATACAACGCTTAGGCCACGTTGACAATTAGCAGTGAAACTGCTCCAGACTGAAGAAGTCTACCCGTACCTCCATGATGTGTGTTCCTGGTTGCTGCTTAATTGCTAAATCGCATTAGTAATTAGATGCTGCCACAATTCGGTGTTTTCATTTACTAGTTTAAAAGGTAGTGAAGCAGAAACGGTTTTCGTGGGACTGTAAAGATTTTTGGGGACTAAAAACATTGATACCTCCTTTTCCCTACTCTGGAAGAGCATTTTTATGTTTAAGAAGTATGCTATTTCAGAGCCAGCCTTCTGTTAATTCATTTGGCAGTGGGCATCATTCTCAAAAAAATACCTTATAAATAAAACTAGAACTGCCTGCCACTCCCTCAAGCACACGTTGGCTCTATTTTTAGGTAATTGTGAATTCAGATATCCTCCTTATTAGACAACCAAGCTAATGATGTCATTATAATACCAAATTGTTGTAATAGTTTGGCTTTGTTGCAGTAAGCCGCAGCTGGGTAACTTGACTCTAAAAGTTAATTATTTCAGGTCTGACTTCATGCGTTTGATTTGCCCATCTTCGTGTATAGAAATCTTGTTTACCTGATGGTGTTTTTATGTGCTAGTGGGTTTTTTTTCTAGTTTTTCCTAGTAGATTAAGACACCACTTCTCAGTGTTAGGTATTTTTTGTTAACCTGGATAAAATCCTGATTGTATTCTCACCTTCAGAATAGGCAATCTGTTAATTTTTTTTAAAATGGCTTCAGCCAAACACAGCTACCAGGAGAGGCAAAAAGTCTTTTGTGGTTAATTTACAAGAAATGCCTTATGGGTGATTAACAAGTTGAACAAGTTGTTGTGCATAAAAAGTGCTATCTCTGACTTTAGTCACTCACTTCACTGGTTTTACTTTTAAGTTATCAGATCTTCCAACTATGTAATCAGAGTCAGACCTGTGCCTATGTAGGACTTGTCTCTTTGATTAAGTTTGTACAGTCGCTTAGGTTATATGTAAAGGATAGTGAATACACAGAATAATAAGTATATTTTACTATCCCAGTCATAAACTGCCTTTCTAGTTACTGCACCAGAAATTACTCAGTTCATAGGCTAGTGTAAAGTATACTTTGATTTGCTCAGTGGGTTGAGTCTTTCAGCAATAGAGTCACTAGAAGGGCACAGCAACCTGCTTCAGTACTCTTGCCTGGATAATCCAGTGGACAGAGGAACCTGACCAGCTGCAGTCCATAGGGTCGCAAAAGTAGGACACACACACACAAAGAAAATTCAGATAAATAAGACAGATTTGGAGAGGTTAATAAGCAGATCACAAAGACAGGATTTTTGAAATTATAAACACTTTATTTATTATATGAATCCTGATTTCCGGCCTCTTAAATTGTCGTGCCAAAAAGTTTGTCATTTGTTACAGAAACAACTTGTATGTTCTGTTAATTCCTTGTTAAATTAAACACAACTTGACTGCTTATCTCCACAAACTATTTTCACCTCTTGACACAATGAGAAAAATAAAGAAGGTTGTCAGAAAGTTGATGTTTTTCTTTGGGAAAGCAGACTGAAAAGATTGAACTATCCTTTCCTTTTTCTTCTTCATTCTTCGTTTTTGAGCTCACAATCCTAGTTATTTTACACTAGGAAAATTTTCTTATGATGTCTTTCTGGTACAATGAGTATTATTCTAGCATCACATGTGTTAAGTCATTAGAGATGGCAGCACCTCGATTATGATAACAAATGACATTAACTTGTTGTAGTCTCATATTTAGGTTTTTATGGTAGCCATTAACCACATTGGCTATTAAATTTTTAATTAATTACATTAAAATTCCACGTGGCTATTAGCTACTATATTGGACAGTTCAGAGTAGAACATATTCATTATCACAGAAAATTCTGTTGCACAGCACTACATTAGATTTAAATGGAACTCTTTGTCAATTCATGTTTTAATTGACATGTAATATTTCTTTACAGTGCAATGTAATGCTATATTTTAAAGCACTTACTGTGTGCATGCATAATAAGCTAAATAGTGGGGGCACAAATGTCGGTCAGTGAGGGCCTTATTTATCTCTATTTCATGTCTCACACAGGATTTGATATAAGAGTAGACACTGGGTACATGTTTTCTGAATAAATGAATAGGTGAGAAGATAAAAGAATTAATCCATATTATTGCTTCTGTGTTTTGAGATAAAGTGACAAAATTCAAGATTGACCAGTCCAAAGGAAAGCTGGAAAATCAAAAAATACGACTTAATGTTGTCATACTAGGATACAGTTTCTTAAATTGTTCTATAAATATAGTCCCTTCAGGTTTATATCTACAGTGGCAGAAGGAGGCTAGTAAGATTGTCTTCTGATTCACTGAGAAAAACGGTAAGCTCTTAGCCTAAACTCAGCCTGTTCACATTCACCAAACTTGTTTATTCCTCTATTCCTCTCTTCACACTTGTCACAAAGAAAGGTGTGACAGTCCTCTTTTCCAGACTAACCAGTCCGTTTGTGTTCTTTCATCCTGCTCTCCGCATCAATTAGCTGTAGTCTGTTTACTCTTACTTTTTCTTTCAGCTGTGAACACATTCATGCCACCCTCTACTAATTTACTTTGTCCCGTACCTGTGTCAAAATGTTTTCAGTTTTCTAAAAAATAGGTCTTTCCTATATAACTATGCTGTCCAGTACTCTGAAATGTGGCTAGTTCAGACTGAAATATGCTTAAGTATAAAATACACATAGGATTTTAAAAACAGTATTAAAAAAGCATGTAAAATATCTCAACTTTTTATATTGGTTACATGTTGAGTAATATTTTGGATTTATTTGGTAAAGTAAAATACTGCAGTTCATTTTGCCTGTTCCTTTTTACTTTTTAAAAAATGGTTACTAAAAAAAACAAAAGATGGTTACTGGAAATTTAAAAACTACAGAAATGTCATTCCGTATAACATTAGAAGTGAACTCATTTTTCCTTATAGCACATTATGTAAGTCTAGATACCTTACACAGTAGACTAGGCTGTAAATATCTTGGGGTGGGCTATATTTTATCTTTAGAGCCCTTGCAGTCAAAACAGCAGCTGGCACATTGAAGGTACCCACCCACCAAATGTTGGTTGACTGAATATCAGGTTTCTTTCCACATCAGTTTGGAAGTGCCTGTGTTCCTTGCCTTTCTCTCAAGGAATGAATGAGGAGTAGGCCAAGGAAGCAAGGCCTATGGTGGTGGTATTTTGGTGTGGCTAAGTAAATTTTAACCTCAAAAGTTAATGTTTTGGGGCTTCCTTGGTGGTCCAGTGGTTGAGACTGTGTCCTTCCACTGCAGGGGCTGCAGTTCAATCCCTGGTCTGGGAAGTTCTGCATGCCACAAAGTGCAGCCAAAAAAATATTAATGTTTAAGATCCTAAATCTTAGAATATTTTATCTCTGTGTTCAGACATCTATTCTCAGATACTCAATGTTTCATTTGGTTAAAGAGGTCAAGCATTAGTGAAGTAAAGTGAAAGTCGCTCAGTCGTGTCTGACGCTTTGCAACCCTGTGGGTTCATGGAATATACAGTCCATGGAATTCTCCAGGCCAGAATACCGGAGTGGATAGTCTTTCCCTTCTCCATGGTATCTTCCCAACCCAGGGATCGACCAGGGTCTCCCACATTACAGGCCGATTCTTTGCCAGCTGAGCTACCAGGGAGGCCTGATCAAGCATTAGTAGAATCCCAATTATCCCAGCTGTACTGAAGTAGGGACCTTGCCCAAATGCTCCAAAGAAACTTGTGATTGCCACTGTCATCATTAACTATCCCCTTTATCCCTACAGTCTGTTTTCAATATAACAGCCAGAGTGATCTTATTAAAACACAGGTTAGGTCATGTAATTCCTGTGTTTCAAACCTTCTAAAAACTTGCCTTCTTGCTCAGAGTAACAGCCAAAGTCTCTCCTAGATCTGTATCCAAGTCCCTGCCCAGACCACTTCTTGTCTCCCATCATTCTTCACCCACTTTGCTTTAGCCACATACACCTTGCTGTTCATCAAAAGTGCCAGACAGATTTCATTCAGTCTTAAGATTTTTGCCCTGGCTGTCACCTCTGGCTGGAATGTACTTCCCCCCCAGTTAACCTGTTCGCACC